TGCTATAAGAAACAACGAACATGATTAATACAGACAAGCAGGGAAAGGTTTATATGAATTCATGCAAAAGAAAATAAGCAGAACCAAGAAAACAGACACAATGAGAACAATAATATCAGCCAACAATTTCAATGGTACCTTAAGTTTTGCCAAGTGTTCAACATTTGATTCTCATTATGCTCTGGAGTAGGTGCAATTGTCATATTCATTTTACAGATAAGGAAACTCAGGCTCAGAGGCTAAGTGACATGTCTGGAGTCACACAGCTAGTAAGAACCAGAGGTAGGATCTGAACTCAGGCTTTTACTGTGTGATCCTTGAAACTCAAGTCTTCCTGACTACAAGTCCAGCAATAAATACACTATGTCATCTAATGGAAAAAACAACAAAAGAATCAAAACTGAATTCTTCAAAATTATATCGACCAAGCTTGGCCCCAAAGAGATAGGAAAATCGACTCCTTTGCAGAACTGAGACCATAGATCTGAAATACTGTATATGTCATAGTTTTCTGGTCATGTGGGTTAGTTGTGCAAAATGATTTTTTCCTAATTTTTTTTTTTTTTTTTTTTTGGTGAGGGTTTAAGTGACTTGCCCAGGTTCACATAGCTAGTAAGCATTATACGTCTGAGGCTGGATTTGAACTCAGGTCCTTCTGACCCCAAGGCCAGAGCTCTAGCCACTGTACCACTTAGGAGCCCCCCTCTTTTTAAATTCATTATTATAAGGGAGAGCCTTAGGGAATGGGGAGGTGGGGAGCCAGTAGGAAATATATATATTTTTTTAAAGCAACTTTAGAGAAGTCAGTGGTGGGGTGAAAACTCAGACTACGAAGGGTTATGAAACAAGTGTGAGGTAAAAAGGTCAAATCAATCTGTGTAGATGTACTTTTCTAGTTTATCTGTAAAATGGAGGCAATATAGGATGATGAATTGAGGGTCAGTCAATTAAATTATTTTTAAGAATGGGTAAGATTCAGGTATCTTATCTTTGCAGGCATCAAAGAAAGTGCCAGTGGATAGCTCCATCAATCAATGAGCATTTATTAAGTGCCTATAATGTTCCGGGCATTATATTTAGCATTGTAGATACAAGGATGAAATGGTCTCTGCTCTCAAGAAGCTTCCATTCTATTAGTAGAATATATAAGTAGATACAACATACAAAGTAAATAAAAGGTAATTTTGAGGGAAAAGCCCTATAAAGCTGGAAGGTCTCAAGAAAGGTCTAATTTAGGAGACTGCACTTAAGCTGAACTTTGAAAGAAGTTGGAGATTCTCAGAACCTGAAGCGAGGAAAGAGCATATTACAAGCGCGAGGCATAGCCTATTCAAAGTTTAGAGATCAAATGTCATGTGTGAGGGTCAGCCAGTTTGGCTGGACCATAGAGTGTGGGAAAAGGAAAAATATGCAAAAAGTGTAAAAAGGTTAAGTTGGAACCACACTGCAGAGTTTTAATGTTAAACAGAAGAATCTGTAATACATCCTGGCAATAAGAATGAACCAGTGGAGCTCACATCCAGTAGAGGATGGACATGTTCTGTGCTTTATGAACAGCACTTTGACAACTGTAGAGGATAGCTTGGAGAGAGGAAAAAATGGAGTCAGAGAGATCAATCAATCAATAAGCATTTATTAAGCTCCTACTAGATTAGGCATGGTGCCTGAGACACAAAAGATAAAAGCAAGATATGCTTTGACCTTCAGAAACTTACACCCTAATGGGGAAACATGTATGCATGTAGGTATTTACAAAGGTAACTTTAGGGGAAAAGACAGTAGCAACTGAGGGTGATGTCATTTAAAAGCCTCATGTAAAAGGTGCCCTATGAGCTGGGTTTTGAAGGAAACTAGGGATTCCAAGGGGCAGAGGTGAGGATGGAGCACACTTCAGGCAGAATGGATAGCCACTGTTAAGGCACAAAAATGGGAGGTTCAATGTTCCAGGAGAAAAATGGCAAGGACAGTTTAACTGCAGCACAGAATGTGGGAATAAAATTTACTAAGGATGAAATGTGAATAGCTTTAAATGCCAAAGAGGAGTTTAAATTTGACCCTAGAGGATCACAGAGAGCAACGGCAGGAGGTTTGGGCGGGGGGAAGCCCAGAAAAGTAATATAGTCAGACCTGAGCTTTAGGAAAATCACTGGCAATTACATAAAGGATGAATTAGATTAAGAAGCAGTTTAAGGTGAAGACCAATTGGGAGGCTACTACAATAATCCACAAGACAGGTAATAAGGACCTGAACAAGGGTAGTAGATGTGAGCAGAAGACCCGTGAAAGATAATGACAATGACAGTGCCTTCAACAAAAATGGAAAGTTAGGTAGAATGGATTTTGGATGAAAGAGAACTGTGGGGGCAGCTAGGTGGCACAGTGGACACAGCACCAGCCCTGGAATCAGGAGGACATGAGTTCAAATGTGGCCTCTTGACACTTGACACTTACTAGTTGTGTGACCCTGGGCAACTCACTTAACCCCACTGCAAAAGGAAGGAAAGGAAGGAAAGGAAGGAAAGGAAGGAAAAGAAATACCTAGTTTTAATGTGGCAGCTAGGTGGCACAGTGGATAAACCACTGGCCCTGGAGTCAGGAGGACCTGAGTTCAAATCTGGCCTCAGACACTTGACACTTACTAGGTGTGTGACCCTGGGCAAGTCGCTTAACCCCACTGCCTAGCCCAAAAAAAAAAAAAGAAAAGAAAGAAAGATAATTGTGTTTTGAATATGTTGAGCTTGAGATGCATATAGTACATCTAATTCAAAATGCCAAATCAGTGATTTGTGTCTTGAGACTGGAACTAAGAAAGAAACCACAGCTAATAGAGATCTATCTGGGAGCCATCTTTGTAGAGATTATAATTTAACCCATGGGCATTTATAAGATCATCAAGAGATAGTGGAGAGAAGAATGCCCAAGGGTTTTTGAGGGGACAGAGTATACATTTCAAGTGGGTACAAGCACTGAGAAAGAGTGTCAACCAAGTACTGAACTCTAAGAAAACGAAAATGACATGAAGGCTAGATGACTACACCCAAGGATCTAGATAGAGTCATTCAGTCAGTCAATAAACATTTATTAGGCACCTACTATATTCCAGGCACTGGGCTAAGCTGATGTGACAGAAATTCATGAACCTAAAAAGGATAGGTTCCTAAGTGACAGAATGAGGCTCTGGAAGAGGCACCAAAAAGTAAGAAGTACAGATAGTTCCAGCTTTACATAAGTGGACAATTCTGCCGACCTCTACATAAAGTGATTTTTATGTAATTCGAATTTACCAGCAGACATGGGGAAGGGAGTGAGGTAGGAAGGAGGCTGGCATGTAGTTCAAGGACATGTGGAGACCAGGGATAGAGAAGAGCAGGAAGAGGAACACTTGGAACAGGGCCAGCCAAATGGGGGACTGACAAGAACCAAGGTGGGGGGTGGGAGAGAGCACACAGCGGTGTGCACCAGACGTGTTGGGACCAGACACATGCACATGGGGCATAGACAAGGGTGAGTGTGATGTTCAAGGGAAAGGTCTCCTTTATCACAACCCCGAGGTCTCAAGCCAAGCCCTTGACCTTCCATTCTGCTTTCACCTGGAGGGATTTTTTTTTAGGGTCCTTTTCTTTGGGGATTTTTTGTAGAAGAATACACAGTAACAAAGTTAAAACAGATCATTTTTGTGGGGTGCAGATTTCTTTCATAATCTTTATGTAGAGTTGAATTTTCGAAAAGAAAGAACTGTCTGTATATTTATTCTTCCTCCTGGTCCAGTAGGAGCCAGGGAAGGGGGCCAATTCAGCCTCTTCCCCTGCAGTCTGCATGCTGACTTGGAAACCACAAATTAACGTTATCTATGTTGTATAGTATTTCTATTTTATTAAATTTTTTGAAATTAAATTTGTTAAACATTTCCTAAATGTATGAAGGTGTCTGCATGGCCCAGAAGTTTCCTTGAGTGCAAGAGTTAAGAAGGATATGAGAAGAGGTCTAAAATGAAAGGAAGTTTGCTATCAATAGAAAGGAATCTTCAAAGGGCAAAATGGAAAGGGAGAAAAGGGAAAAAGTGAAGAGTGTAGATGACAAGACAGTGGACAGAGATAAGGGAGAGATTTTTCCGAGAATCAAAAGGATTCAGGTTTACAAAGCCCTAAGGCATGGTTTTCTCAGAGAGCGAATGAAGCAAAGCACTTTCCTACATTTCAACATTGGAAACAGTTTTGCAGAGACTGCTCACCCCACGGAAAGTGAACTATGTTCCACATGAGATTCAGCATTACAGGTCCTGGTTGGGTCCTGGAGGCAAAAGGCCTATAGTCTGAGCATTAGATAGTTACAGACAGTTGACATATTTCTTTTCTAAGAAGATTTGGTTAAACAAGGCAGAATAGATAGTATAAAGCCTCCAAATCTAGCTCGAGAGAGGGATTAAAACTCCACCCTCCAGAAGCTAATAATGGTACCAAAAGGAATAAGTGCTGGGGGGAGGTGGGAGGGGAAAGGGGGCTTATATGTCAGCAATTCTACCTGGAAATTCCATAGTTATGGAAACTGCTGTTTTCAAATTGATAGCAGGCACAAAAAAAGTTCCTCTTCCACCCTACCTAGCTATAATAGCATTCAGTAGTAAGACAGGGATGAGCATTTTCAGCGCGCGCGCACACGCACACGCACACGCACGCACGCACACGCACGCGCGCGCACACACACACACACACACACACACACACACACACACACACACACACAC